TTTTTCCTGATGCCAATTTAAGACAAAAACACCCAAGCTTGTCTGGGACAAAATACCCTGTCTGAAAACTGTAGACCACACTGTAGGTTTCCCACTTGCAGTTGATCATGGAGCCTCGCCATGGTTTGTTTTGAGTTGATGTGAAATGATATTAAAGATGAAATCATTGGCCAGTGAGGCATTTGCTAAACAATTTGTAGCAGGTTTCTCGGTCAGCATACAGTAGGGGTTTGCCCAGACTGGAAGTTTCACTCCCTTATGGATGAATAAGAGAAGTGAAGCTTCCTTTCCCCATCTTATGAACTAGTGGATCTGAGTGAGCCAGCGGACAACTGTGAAAGATCAGTAGTGGTCTTTTAATGCAGATCTGAGATGACTTGGGAATTATGGCACGAGATTTTTCTTAGTACAAAGGCCTGTTGTTACAAAGAATGGCGCAGAGCGTGATGGGACCTAATGTAGTATTGTGATTAAGAATTCAGTACGGACACCTGGATTCAAATCCCAGCTCCAACGTGTACTATCTCAGGGACCTTGTACAAGTCATTTAACCTCGTCGTTAGCTTCCTTACCTATAAAATGAGAATAAAAATACTCCCCTGACTCACAAACTTGTAACAATAATATGCTATGTATAAAGCACAATAAATCTGAACATTCAGTAAGGTAGCAATGTTTTCCCCCATCAAGAGACAGAATCAGGAAGATAAGCTTAAATCAAAATATCCTGAGAGAAGATCCTGACATGGATGTCTTACAAGATTTTAGAATAAACTAGGGAAAGAGGTCTGGAAGAACCAAACTTTCTTGGAAATCTCTAAAATAATGTTGGTCCTCACTTTCCATGTTGGCTTAGGTTGCCCTTCCATTGAGTCTGGAATGAAATAATCAATGGCAATATCTTCCAAACCTGGAAATGTCCCCACAGAAGTGCTGTCCTTTATGAAGAAACAGGAAGATCTTTCTTTGCTCCTGTTCTTAAATATGGTATATTGAAGCACATACACTTCAGTTCAACATCTATTCATAGGTGTGGGATTAATGAAATTTAGTGGGAAGGACAGGCTGCAGGGGAATCAAATCTGCTTCATTTCTTTCTCACCATTTGCTATGGACCCCATTCGCCTGCTTCTTCTTTTTATTTGTGCATTTTACTGTGGCCAGAGTAAAGATCTTGGAGTCCAGAGTGGTCCTTGCTTAAGGATGTTGAGCACCTGATTCATTTTATTCAAGAGACTGGGTTCAGCAATATGTTATGTATTTAACTTAGAAATTCAGTCTAGCCACATTGTATTAACTTATACAATATGTAGTTTACTAGGTGGGAAAAAAAAAAAGGTCTCTAAACTATTGGGGCCAAAAACACTTTATAGAAATCTGGAGAATGTAGAGACTACCTTTAAAAATAAAATTATGCCACAGAGGTATGAAAAGTGATGATAATTTTGTGATATTACAGTACAAATGTACAAATTAATCAACAGACTAATCAATGATGTGAATACTATCTATAAAGAACTGAATTAGGTTGGGGGGAACATAAATAGCATAGAAGGAATATAAGACATGACTTCGTGCCTCATCTGGAATATGATAATGGATATAATAATATAAAGATTTTAATTAGAGACACCCTTATAGAGTTCCTATCATGCAGGTGTCGGAATTGCAGATTTGGGCACCTTTTCCACACAGTTTTTGAAAATGTGTATGTTTCATTTCTTCTATAATATTCTAAGCTGACTCCTGCTTTTTTCATACCAGCTTTATCTGAGACTCTGTTACCAGCCAACTTTCCCTGTCTCTGCTTCTCTGGATCACTTTGGCAAGATAATCGTGTTTATTCAGAAGTTCTAAACCATTCTGTGCTCAGGACTACTTGGGTGTCTTCGTGATATTTGGAAGATGTCCTTCCAATGGTCAGAACTGTTTCTGGTCGCTTCTTTCTGTCAATCGGTGTTTCTACATCTTCAGACTATCTCTGAGAACTGACCTGCTGCTTCTTCCGTGTCAAGAGACTGCCAATCCCTGCTCAAATTGTCCAGCCAGTGCTATTTATTTTGCATTTTCCCACAACTCCTGCTTCCCTGCCTATCAATGGCATCTTCCACCATGAAAATTTTCCATATTGAGTTGGGAAGAGAGGTGACCCAAGTATGACAGAGGAAAGCAAAATGAATTAGAGGGCCATAAAAGGTAAGTACAAAATTTCCCCTCAAATCGCATACACCAGAAGTTCTCAAACTTTACCATGCATCAACATCCCAGGGACACTTCTTGAGAACCACTGCCACATGTGAATCAAAATCATCTCCAAATAACATGTAATCAAAACAAGAGGCCATCTCATTTTGCTCTGTGACAAGGAGCTCTTAACCTAGACATCCTTGGAGACCCTTTGATAGGATTCGAGCTCTCCACGGTACTCCACAAATTATATTTTATATTACATTAGCATGTGTGAGATTGCATCTGGATGCTTGAGAGGACCCACTGCTCTCAGAAGACACTCAAAGATGCATTTTCCCAAACATTATCTTCTATAACTCCCACTGATGCCATGCAGTGAGAGTCAAGTCAGCACATGTGTGGAAGCGCTGACATTAGAACGGAGCAGAATAGAGCCAAGGTGTAATTTTCCTGTTCTTTTTATGGTTAATAGAATAATTCTATTAATACTATTACACTGGCCTTTGTAATCAATTATTCCATTCTTTCATGATTATACACTGACTCCTACCAAGATGTAGATCCACCAGTCAATCAGCCAAAAAGTTTAGATGGAGCGCCAATGATAGGCCTAGTATGGTGTTGGCTCAGTGAGGAACCCAAAGATTGCAGAATCCCTGCTCACAGGCAACTCTCGGTGAGGATACTGACATACACTACTTGTAAGCCCTGTGAGAATAAGAACCTTGTTTTTCTGACCCCAAATTCTGTCTCATAGGGCCTACAAGAGCCCCTAGCAAATCACAGGAGCACAGCTAAATATTAAATGAATGAATTAAAGACCTCAGGGGTTTATACTGTAAATGTCATAATGATTTTGACGGATAAACAAAATATTCACAGTGGCTGATTGGCCAACGCTCTTACACCTTGAGAGTACTGCTGAATAAAGGAAATAAGGGACCCAATTAATAATGCACATTAATAATCTGCAAACTTGCCTCCACAGGGAAAACAAATTGAAACTTAAATATGACACAGTTTCAAATGGCTTTTTACACCAGATGTCCGGCATAGGTAAGAACTCAGTTAAAAGACTAGGCTAGAAGATCACCTCTCCCTCCACTGCATCCTTTCCTGTAGCAAGTGATAATGTTGATGGCAAAGGATTCGGGTAACAAAAAGCATGCTGCCCAACCACATATATTCATCGTGCTTCCTTCGATAAGTGTGAAGCAGGCAAGCCCTTCCTTACCTAGATTTCAAGCTGATGAATCATCTGTCTAGTTTCAGTAAACCCCAAGGGACTGCTCAGCTTTGTAAAGCTGAAACGCTGTCAGCCTCTGGATGCATTTAAACAAGGACAACGTGTTAAAAGGAGGCAGGTTATGAGGTTTCCTGAGGAATCCCTAGTTTCTAAGTGCACAAAACTCTCCTTCAATGCACAATAAAGAGCCTTTGTATCTAAAATAACCCCAGAAAGTTATTTTTAAATCGTGTATAGATGCTGACTCAAATCTCAAATCTCAAATACATAAAGAGAAATATTAATGATATTCGGCCATCCATTTACCCAAACGAGGTCCCTCCTATTCCATTATCTCCATGGAAGCACACACATAGCCTTATACACGTTGGAAGAAAGAAAATTCCTCCTTCTTGGGAAACACCTGTCCTGGGAGTTCTCCGTTGTGCAGGTTCTGAGCACACACAGGGTCGAGCATACAAATGGTGCAGTGACTCTTTTGGAAGTCACATTTGTCCCTGAAACTTCAGTCACCTGGAGACTGCATGCCTCATTGCCTGCAGCAGCTCAATCCTGACAGTGTAGGATGAGTTTAGAAATCTCATTTGAGCAACAAAATTTGAATCGAGAATCGAGAGTTCAAACAGCATAATATGTTTAATACTGAAATAATCTTTTTTTTTTTTTGCAACTTCTGCTGACTGTGGAATTTTTCTCTTTTTTCTTTGCTATTGGGCTATCATCTTGGTTTGGTTTGGATATTGTGACGGGAAAGGAGGGTAACAGGACTCAGTCTACGGGAACATCTGTTACCTGCACATCCCCATTTTTACACATAGAACGTCTCTGCTTCTTTTGCTATGCTAACACACTTACACATAATTCCTGAAATCCCTACTACATTCATATCCACTGCTTCCAGACACACACTCACAAGGCACCAAAACACAAAATCTCTCCATGTCAAAATCAAACCAGGCTGAAGATGTAAATAGGTGAACATGGCACCAGGTGGATGTGTAATCAGTAATAAGAAATACATCGAGCCCCATAATGAAAAGAAATCCCCCAAATTGTTTAGGATTCCCCCTCCCCCTTCCATTCACTGATTTATTAACCCTGAACAAAGATGTAATTGCAGGGTCTCAGAAACAACTTTTTTTTTCCATTTTTTTTTTTTTTCATTTTTTGGCATTTGTTTTGTTTGGCTTTGAATTTCTTAAGATCTAGTCGTACCATTCATTGCCTGTTTTCTTCACTCAGTTGCCCATCTTTCCCCCTCCCCCCCAAAATGAAAGAAGCATTAGCTTCTGAGTCTTAAGGATGAGACCTCTGCATTTTCTTTGCTTGTTTAGGGCAAGAAATGAAGTGCTGCCTCTTTAATTGGCAGAAGCATGCAGGAGGAGCGTACCTTTAATTTAGTGCTGGGATACCTCACTTGCACCCTGGCTGTTGTCTTATTGGAGACGGCAGCCTGCCTGAGATCCTCTAGCACTGAAATAATATCATCCAGCACGCATTTCTTATCCTGATTTTTCAACACACACAGATGGGAAAAAGTATAATTATAGCCCTTGTGGTTCACCTTCATTTCCAGCACGGCTCGGTGGGTCTGCAGGATCCCCTCAGCCTGGAGCAAAATATTGTCCCCGGGTGGGGAGAGGAGGATCACCCTGCCATACCTCCCAGGGGTGTGTAAGTCCGAATAGAGCTGGCTTTTGGACTGGTCCAGGGGGAAAAGGCTGCTGGCCAGGCTGCGCTCGATCTTGGCCAGGCTGTGGCTGGGAGCGACCAGGCGCTCCAGGTCGCCCTCGGGCTGGAAGCGGTTGAGCGCGCTGAGGCCGAAGGTGATGGTCAGGACTGCGGGCACGGTGAGGAAAGACCGGGTGCCGGCTCACGCACAAGCCCAGCCTGTGGCAGCACGACTGGAGCCCTCTGCGAAGCACCTGCCGCAGCATCCTCCACCAGATCCAGCTCGCGAACTATGCTCCCGGCCGTTCAAAAGCACATGACATGTGGGCATGTTGGCCAGCGCCACCCCCCCCCGCTCCCCATCCACCTCCGCCCCCTCCCCAGCACCGCTGCGTCCCCTGACCTCCGCGCTCACCCCCAACCACTCCGCCTGGTCTTTCCCCGGCCCCACCTCCATGCGCTCCTACTACTCTTTCAAACACTGCAGCAAGTTGCAGCAAGGCGGGCAAATATCGACAGCGGCTGCGCGGGGCACCAGGCCCACCTCCCGGCCTCCCCGACGCGCCTCGCGCCGCCTCCCGCGCCCTCTTCTCACCGCATGAGCAGCGTTCCTCGGTCTCTAGCCCTTCATCTCGGTGCTGCAGTCCCCCGGCCTCCCTCGCTGGAGGTGGTTCCGTGCGGAGCGTCCCACAGATGTGGATTTCCTCTCCGTCCTGATGGGGTTCGGTGCCTAACTGGAACCATGTGCCTCGGTGTTGTAAGAAGCAGACATGTGCCCCAAAAGGGGCGGAGGGGGGCGGGGAGGACAGAGACTAGAAGGGAGGGAGCGAGGGGGGCAGCTGCTTTTTTTTTATGACGCTGGCAGTTATTTTTAGAGTTTTGTTTTCCCTCTTCCCTCCTGGCTGGAGTGAATGGAAGAGGAAACTGGTGAAGGTGCTGCTGGCCCATTGGAGCAAAGGCAATTAGAGCCTGCGGGGGGGAGAGGGGGTGTACGGGGGGGGGGTGGTGGAGGGAGGGAGCTCGAGGGCTCCTGGAGGCCAGCAGCCGTTTTGCCCCTCCAGTTTCCCTGTGCCCTCGAAATCTGCTTTCCTGCCGAAGGAAAAAGAGAGCAGAGAGGATGATGCTGCATTTTTAACATACCACAAAGCATGCAAGGGATTTCCTTGCAACACCTTCCCGCCGTCATTCCAGACTAGTAGGCTGCAGCCGAGGGCTGCCAGAGACCCCATTTGTGGGTGGTGCGTTGGGGCTCTAGAGATCCCTTCCTTGATCTGGTGATTGGAGAGGAGGCATTTGCCAATAGCAGTCGCCTGTGGCTTGGTGTGTGTGTTTGTGTGTGTCGCGGGTTGGTAGTGAAGATCCACAGGCAGTGTGTAGTTTCCCATAAAATATTACGTTCACTTCCTGTACTTTTGAAGTTTAAAACAAAAAGTTCTTAGTTTCTGGTTTCAGTTCCCTTTCCCCATTTTCCCTTCCATCAGATTTATTCTGATATGAAGTAGACCCAGAGGCTATCTAGTTTTCTCTTGAGTGGAATTACAGAAACAAACATTTTGGGACACCCATCACATAGGTTTTGCCTCAATAAAGAGGGTGACAGGGCTAGGAGGAAATACACTGGAGTCGTTTAATATGTAAAACAGTGAGTCTCCTTCACCACAGAGGAGAGAAAACTCCCACCAGGTACAATACCTAACCCTGTAAAGATGAGAAACTCTCACCTGCAGATCCCATCAACTTCAAAAACTTTACTATTAGTAAGTGGATGTGTGTATTTTATTTTTTTGCTGATTGGGCCTTTCACAAGGCCCAGTGTTCTGGAAAGAATGTGAAGAACCCTTGAAGACAAGTTCTAAGTTTGGTTGTGAACTGGAGACCTGCTTTCCAAAGTTTCTGTTCTTTTTGCACTGACTTCATAGAGAAAATGGGGATTCAAAACATGATTCATTCACACTTTCTTAATCATAGTAAAATGACCCACTCTTCATCAGATACTTGAGATATGCCCACGTGTGCATACAAAAAAGCTGAAAAATCTCATCCTCTTAATAGATGAGTTTTATTTTTCCTAGTGGAATCAGTTTTTCAGTTAGAAGACCAGAGAGACTGCAGGCAGCTCAGAAACAGGGGCAATGGTTAATTAAGGGCAACAGTTTAAAGGTGGTGTTATATAGAAGATAAAAGAAAAAATTCCAGCCTTTAAAATTGAAATTGACCTTGAAGAACAGTCTGTTTGCAGCACCCCACCCCCTACCCCCAGGCCAATAGCTTCTATAATATCCCTGATGGTTCTCCACCCAGCCCTTGCTCCTGTATGAGATTTCTATTCTTCTATTCCATTCCATTCCATTCCATTCCATTCCATTCCATTCCATTCCATTCCATTCCATTTATTTAATGCTTTTATATCAGCATGGGTTTAGGGGTATTTATAAATATTTCTCTTGTGCTTGGATTAGAATTCAATACTTTGTTTCCTTTGTTGCCCAGATTGGTTCCACTTTGCCCACTGGGTGCTCTGTCTCCCTTTGACATATCTCATTATTATTGGGTCCTTAAAAAAAAAAAAGTATTCCGTATTTTCCAGCACTAAAAGATATTCCAGGCTTGTCTTGTATCTTTTCTGTCTGAGTATCAGCCATTTCTCGAGAAGCCCTGGTTTGTTTATTAGACAATGGTATTAGAAACAAAGATCTGGGTACTAAGTGTGCTGCTTGCTGTTGGGGTGTCATCACTTCTAAACCTTCGCCACCGACAACAAGGAAATACATGGGTGTGCAGACCTTCCTCAGCTGACAGTGGGGTGATGTCCTAAAAAACCCATGATAAGTTGAAAATATTGCAAGTTCAAAATGCATTTAATACACCTAAACTACCAAAACCATAGCTAAGTCTAGCCTACCTTAAACATGTTCAGAGCACTTACATGGGCCCGCAGTTAGGCAAAGCCGTTTAACATAAAGCCTATTTTACAGTAAAGTGTTGAATATCTCATGTAAGTTATTGAATATTATATTGAAAGTGAAAAACTGGTTGAAGGCGTATGGGTTGTTTACCTTCCTGACTGCATGGTGACCTGGAATCTGTGGCTTAGTGTCGCTGCCTAGCATCAGGAGAGATGATCCTACTGCACACGGCTTGCGAAATTCAGAGTATGGTTTCTACTGGATGCGCAACAACATAAAGTTGAAAAATTGTGTGTCGAGCCATTGTAAATTGGGGACTGTCTGTATACTAATCTGTGCATGTGTATATCTATAAATAGTTCTTTATTTAGCTCTTTGTATCTAGATTAAACTAAACATGGGTATATGTATGTCTCCAACCCTAATCTATTGCCACATGGGTCATTGAAGCCTCTTTCCCATGCTTACCTGTAACCTCCTTACCTGTCACTTCAACAGTGACAAATTGGCTCAGTGGCTGATCTTTAAATGATTTTTCAATAATAAAAACTTTTTTTTTTTGGAAAAAAATTGAAGGAAAGAAGAAAATCATGGCTTCTTAATTTTGATACTGTAAAAAGCTAAGGGCAAATACTATTATGGGTTCATTAGAAAGATAAAGCATATGCTCAAAAGAAGGGGAATGTTAGCAATATTCCAGATTAACCTACAGGATATTAATTTGCACTAGAATATTAGTGGATATCAATCGCATGATAATTCTAGTAAACCTGATTGAAAATAAAGCTTAAAATAAATCTGAAAGTGGTGCATTTAGAGGCCAATCAGTTACAACACAAATATCTGTACTGGTTTGTTCATATAGGATTTGTCTTTTCTGATGTGTGTTGGTCAATATCAGTTTTCAAGACTTGGAACCAGGTTGGCATTTATCCACTTGGCCTTTTGTGGGTTAGGACACCAGAAGAACATGAATTTGGACCCAGACTAGCTGAGTTCTAGGCCAGCCCCTCACGTTACTTCCTGGGTGTTTTGAGCGAGACACCTCGGTCTCTGATCCTGTTTCCTTATCTATGAACTTGGATTATGTTCTTTACCCTCTTGTCACTTCATTCACAGCAACATTCACCAAAGCCCTGTAACTCTGTCGTATTAACTAGCGCTGTAATACTCGTGATCGTAACAAATAAGCCTCTAAATTTTAGCGGTGTAAAACAGTACAAGTTTATATCTTGTTCGAGGTGAACAGTCCATTATGGGTATTCCCGTTTTAGCAAGAAAAGGTAGACCTCAGTTCCACAAGTCATTCATCCATCTTCGACTCCTGGCTTCCAAGGGCATTCCCAAGGGAGGCCATTTCCTGGCCAGTCAGCTAAACGTGGGAAAGAGCCCGGAGGAGCCCGCTGGGGAGGCGTTTACGGCTCAGTCTGGAATGGCATATGTTATTTCCTCTTACATCCTTAGATTAGAATTTAGTCGCAAGAGAGGCTGAATAATGCAGTTTCACGCAGATCTCCTTCTCCGTCCCACAGGCAACTTGAGCAATGTTGGTTTTGGGAAAATGCTCTTTGAGCTTCTTCTGTGGTGGCTTTGAGGAGTCTGACCTCTTAGGCCTGTCGTGTCCAGGAAGGGCACGTCTGAGAGATACAGTTTTAGAGGCAATGTTGGTCTGTATCATTTTGGATGTTTCCAGCAACTGGTTTAAACAATAAGGGCATTTCTTATCTGTTAGGATGTCCTTGGAATCACAGTAGAGGGGACGGCCATCTCGCCAGCGCAACCCAACGAAAAGCCCCTAGTAGCTGCCAGAATGAATCAGAGGTCAACCAATCGCCGAGCGACAGCATGACCTGACGCGAAAAAGGCCCACCCGGACCTAAACCCGGAACCGCTGCAGCTTAAAAACCCCGCCCCACCACACCTGGGGGCGACATCCCTGACTCCTCCCTCTCTCTCTCCCTGAGTCAGGGAACCTTGCCCGAGACCTTAGTTCCCAAATAAAGCCTTTGACTGCTAAATTTTTTTAGCCTCTGACTCCTATCTTTACCCTGCCTTACGCCTGACCCTAACATTTGGTGCCAAAACCCGGGAGGAGGTAGTAGCTCGCCTCCCTTGGCTGAGCTCCCTCCTCGCCAAGCCAGAGGCCAACACCCTACTCTCAAGCGCCTACAGGAGCCGGTAAGTAGGACAGACCCCTCCTTCCCTCCTCCAACTATGGCTGACACCCACGAGAGACGTCTGGCAAGTCGGTCTCCTTTCCTCCCAACGCCGCAAGGCCCCTTATTGCAGCGCGAGGGACGCCTCGCTCTGCCACGCCAATGGGGAGTAACGAGTCTAAACCGCCTCCATCTCTTACCCCCCTCCAACGTCTGTTAAAAACTTCTGGCTCCTGGGCTTACAAGGCAAACTTTGTCGTAACCGGCTCATCCGCCTTCGCACTGTAGTCTGGCCTCAGTACAAATTAGATAATGATTCTCAATGGCCACCCGAGGGGTCTTTACAATACCAAGTCTTAACCGATCTGGACACTTTCTGCCCTCGGCGGGGAAAATGGGGAGAAATACCCTACGTCATGGCCTTTTGGGACCTCAGGTCTCGCCCCACCCTATGTTCCTCCTGCCCCTCTGCACGCATGCTCCTTGCCCGCCCACAACCCTCCCCCCACCCCCATCACCCCACCTCACCAACTTCCCCGATCTCCGACCCGTTAGATCTCCGACCCGTTAGAGGATCTAGCCACGCGGCCCGCAGGCCCTCGCCCCACTCGGTACTCCCAACCCCCAAGCCGTCCCGCCCTCGCCTCCCATGAACTCGTGCTCAGGCCCCTCCCAGCGAACAGACCCCAGCGGCCATCTTACCTCTCTGCGAGGTGGCAGGGCCTGAAGGCCTGGTTCCCGTTCACGTACCCTTCTCCCTCCAAGACTTATCCGCCATTGAAAAGCGGCTAGGGTCATTCTCGGCTGACCCCACCCAATACATTAAGGAATTCCAATACCTTGCCCAAGCCTACAGTCTCACATGGCATGACATCCAGGTAATCCTCACCTCTACCCTCACCCCTGAGGAGAGGGAGCGCATCCAGGCCGCAGCCAGGGAACATGCAGACCAAACCCACATGACCCGACCCCACTATGCCTGTGTGGGCCGATGCTGTCGTGGCGGCCGACCCCAACTGGAACTACCAACATGCAGGCAAACCAAATGTTAGGGTCAGGCGTAAGGCAGGGTAAAGATAGGAGTCAGAGGCTAAAAAATTTTAGCAGTCAAAGGCTTTATTTGGGAACTAAGGTGTCGCTCGGTGATTGGTTGACCTCCGATTCCTTCTGGCAGCTACTAGGGGCTTTTCGTTGGGTTGTGCTGACAAGATGGCCGTCCCCTCTACTGTGGTTCCAAGGACGTCCTAGCACTAACATAACAGTATCCAGAAGCATGACAGTTATAGAACTTGTTAATTTCGAGGTTCAAGGGTGTCATTAAGAACCTAAGTCCTCTTCCTCATTCTGTTTTGCTCATCCCCAGAGCATGAGCGTCGTGCTTATGTTTGGTCACAGGCCACACAACCAGGCAAAACAAGATCCTGGGGAAGAAGGAAGCTGCCTCTTTCTGCGCATTTCTTCTAAGAGGGAAGAAACCTTTTCCAGAAGACCCCCAACAGATTTCCTCATAAGTCGCATTTCTCAGGCCCGTGTCTGAATCAATCACTGGCGAGAGGATCAGTAATGCAATAATTGGCTTAGACCAATCTGGACTCACTATGGGGCTGGGAATGGGGCCAGCCTCTTCTCAGAGAACATTGTCGTGTGGGAGTTTATGTGGGGTTTACTTTGTCAGTTTGTTTTGTTTTGTTTTGTTTTGTTTCGTCTTAAACAAAAGTTTCCTTAGGAAGAAGCATAATGTGATGGCAGGGATGTTTGGATGTTGGGTAGCTGACATTAACCTTGGGTGTTGAGTTTTTCTGCTGGAGCAAATTAGTTTCTGGAGACCATACTTTCTGGATGGAAAACAAACTCATAATCTGACAAAGGAATTGTTTTTCTGGTTTTAATCCATTTATGTTAAAAGCTTTATAATACTGCACAGGGGAAGTCCAAAGGTATTTGATATACTTATTTAAAAAAATATTTTTAATGTTTATTTATTTTTGAAAGACAGAGACGGAGCACAAACAAGGGAGGGGCAGAGAGAGAGGGAGACACAGAATCTGAAGCAGGCTCCAGTCTCCAAGCTGTCAGTGCAGAGTCCAATGCAAGGCTCAAACTTACGAACTGTAAGATTGTGACCTGAGCTGAAGTTGGATGCTTAACCCACTGAGCCACCCAGGTGCCCCTTGCTACACACACACACACACACACACACACACACACACACACATATATGTATACACATTATATATAAATAAATTATATATATATATAAATTGTTTTGATGTTTATTTACTTTTGAGGGAGAGCAGGGGAGGGGCAGAGAGAGAGTGAGACCCAGAATCTGAAGTAGCTCCAGGCTCCGAGCTGTCAGCACAGACCCCAACACGGGGCTCAAACCCACAAACCATGAGATCATGACCTGAGCCAAAGTCGGACGCTTAATGGACTGAGCCACCCGGACACCCGTGAGATATTTGATATTTTAAAAATTACCTTTATTTCAATAGGGTACAAATATGTGAGTATTATTTTTGGGGGGGAATCCACTATCTCTGATCACTGTTTCTGTATGAGTAGGAGATGACTGACTGGTAATGACTGAGGAGTGTAATCAAACATCTTGACTTAATAAAAGTTATGGGAGGGGCATCTGGGTGGCTCAGTTGGTTAAGCATCCAACTCTTGATTTCGGCTCAGGTCATGATCTCAGGGTTCATGGGATCGAGCCCCGCACTGAGCTCTGGGCTGACAGCGTGGAGCCTGCTTGGGATTCTCTCTCGCCTTTTCTCTCTGCCCCTCCCAACCCCTGTCTCTTTCTCTCTCAAAATAAACAAACATTAAAAACAGTTATAGGAAGTTTAGATAGGCTTTGCATTACTTGATAACCTAAAATTCATCATATATAAGATTGTGCATCAAATGTGGCTTAGAGGTTCAGTGCCACTGTCCTCTCATTGCACCCTGCATGCTTACCACTGAAAATAAACACCATTTCATTCCCATTGTAAAATAGCCACACTATGGACTCAAAAGAGGAACAAAGCAGTGTAGACATCCACTAATATACCATTTATAAATAAATCATCAGTACTGAATTATTGCCCGAACTGGTATTTTCCTATGGTGGAATTTAAGAGTAAGTTTTGGAGAAGATTTGAAGCAATCGCTTTTGTCTTAATCTTCAGTCAGGTTCTCCTCTTGCTTCACCACTGTTTATCACTTTGGTGAGATCATTTCAGTGTCCGTAGGCCTTAGATTTACATGGGTAAACTGATACAAAGTAATAAAATTGAAGTAGGTGATCGCCGCCTTGTCCTGCCGGGATTCCGTCATCTTCCGGAAGTTGCTTCCATGGGGTTCCTTTGTGAGGTCTGCCACCTTTTAACACGTCATTCCCTGTTCAAGTGTCAGCGTTGCTTTCCTGTTTACTCTTTGCACGATATCAAACAGAGAGTCACTGAGGGTGAGGACTGGTCCAGCACACAGGAGAACGCGAGCTTTGGTGTTGGTCTGGAGAAAGATAGAGAGGCTGGAAAAATACTCAGAATATTGTGGTCACAGGGGAATAGCTGGACGGAAAACGAAAGACTGCCTGCCAAAATGCAGTTAAGTGCTGACGTTTATCGGACAATGCACTAAGACGACATGCTGCTTTGTACACATTCCGCTTTCAACTATTAAAATAAAGATTTTCTAATTTGGGAAGAAGTAAATCACACTTTTTTCTTAAAATCATCTTAAATTTTTTTGTTTAATGTGTATTCATTTTTAAGAGAGACACAGAGCATGAGTGGGGAAGGGGCAGAAAGAGAGGGAAACAATCCGAAGCGGGCTCTGGGCTCCGGGCTGTCAGAACAGAGCCCGGCGCGGGGCTCGAACCCACGAACCGTGAGATCATGACCTGAGCTGAAGTCAGATGCTTAACCGACTGAGCCACCCAGGCGCCCCTTGAAATCATCTTTTAATTTTTTTTTTGAAATCCGAGTGTAATACAGGTCTATCAGTTGGCCCTACAATAAACCGAAGGATTTCCTCCATTTTTTTTTGCCTTCTCTCCTTCCTTCCTGTAGGTCTTCCCTTCTTCCCTTCCTCCCAGTAGTATTTTTTTTTTTTTTCCAAAATGTCCCTAGCAAGGCCTTCTTGAAATTACTCTGAAAAACATCTTTCTCTTCTGGATAAACTCAGTAGTATAATTCTCTCAAATTGTTTATTTTGAAGTTGCACGTTTTCCAAAACGCAGGTCCTCATCATCAAATCCAGTGGTTGGTTACCGATCCGGGATTTTAGTGGTGTTCCTGCAACCGCAGAGAATCTGCACCTAAAGGATGAGTCGCTCATTAAGTTCAGGCCTGAGCATGAAATTGCACATCCTGTTTGCTGACAAGACAGTTCTCCCATCGGATGCTGGAAAAGAAAAAAAAGAATTTTATGAAGCCAATCGTTGAGTGGGAGTGAGCGTCAGATTCACCGTAGAAGAGATACTCGAACGGGAAAGCATTAGGGATGTCGCCCCGTGTTAGAACTCCACATTCATTGCTACGTCATCAGACATCAACACTGATACCATTACAAACAGCAAAAGAAGAGAACAACACTCCTCAGCTCTGGTAACGGTAGCCCTTGCCCCCTTAGGGTCAGGGAGAAAGAGAGATGTAAGTACGGAGAAGAGGACTTTGTGGGGAGGCAGAAGGGTCACATAAAGAATGGTCTAACCCAGCTTGGAGGAGGATTATACGGCTGGCATTGTTAAAATGACAATGCATGGGGGTAGTAAAAGAAGAGACCAGATTTTACTCAGTTTTATCATTTCTTTAAGGTTTCTACGGCCAATGACATTACTGCCTACACATTAGGTGGAGTGCTCCCACCACGCTGCCTTCTCCCCACACCGGGTACACCACGGCTCCCAATAGTTGCAACTGTGATTTCTGAGTAACTTCACATTCTGCATATCCAATGCTGCATATGGCTGAAAAGATTTGGGTGGGTTTGCAGCCAATATGGAATCACAATATGAAAGACTGAGTTGCTTCGCTCCTGTGATTATAACCCCTGCCCCGTATAAGGACTCCCTCTCACCCCACCCAAAATGGTGTCACCATTGAGGGGAGAAGAAAGGGAGGGCCTGACCCCTGATGTAGCACCTGCCTATTACCTAATTCCCAATAGAGTTTTCTTCCTGAGGAAAACAGATTTCTTCAGAAAAAATATAAGTGAAATGGCATTAGACAACAGACAAACTCAGACTATTTATAAGGGTGCTTGACATTCAAAAATTTGGTCTTCAGTCTGTCAAACGAGGTGAGGAATTTCACCGTGACCTTTGGGAAATTTTCAGCCTTTTAGCCAGGAACATCAGTGTAAACAAAATGAGTTAATATTCAAATGGAAAAAATGAGAAAGCTTCCTATGACCATTCACATTTGTACGTAAACAACACATCGCCAGAAAACGTGTAGACTAACCATCTGGAGATTTAGTTATCTTGTTGACATAGGCGAAATCAATAGGCATTTACAGAAATTGTGATGAACCCTTTCTGTGGGCCTTCGTCTTTGGCACAGTGCCCCCCCTTTGCTGAGCAGCTGTGAAACTTAGGGAAATCTTTATTCTGTTGTATTGAACTAATCTCTATCTTCCTCCTACATAGCCTGCAGTCTTCATGAGGACAATGCCTATTACCCTCAGGTCTTGTACCTTCAGTTTCTAGCAGGATAACTAACGTATAATAAACATACAATAGCATAATAGACACTTAATTCATCCCCGAATGGCTCTCCTAGTGTGATAGAAGTATACAAAAACAAAAA